CTTCTTCTTCAAAGCTCCCCTCACCCCACCCCTACCCCCTCCCAGCCCCCCATCCTTTCATCTTTTTTTCCAGCATCCCCCCTCACTCTCTTCTTGAGCTCCCTGTTTTTGTCTTTCCTTTTTTCACCTTTTTTTTGTTTATTTGTTTTTTGTTTTTTCAATCTTATTTGTTTGTTTTTTGTTAAATTTTTTGTTTGTTTTTTTATCTTTTTTATCAATACTTTTATATTATTTGTTTGTTTGTTTACGAGTTTTTTGTGAACTTTTTTTTGTAAGTTTTTTATCTATTATCTTAAGAAGTGTTTTATTTTTATGTTTGTTTTACTTTTTTATTTTTTTGATATTGTTTTGTCTTATTTTTTTGTTTCTTTATCCTTTTTTGTTTGTTATTTTTTTATATTTTACATTTGTATATTTGTATATACAAATATACTAGGCTAATAGATTCGTTCTTTTTTATGGGTTGTTCTCTTTTTATGCTTCACTTATTCTAAGTTTGACTTATTTTATTCTATTAATTGATGCGTTTTATTTTATTGAACATTTTAGTTAAATAAAAAATAGCGTACTATACGTTTAATGTTTTTGTTTGTTTTATTTGAAAACAGACAAAAAAGTTAACAAAAAATATCAAATAAAACAAACAAAAAAAGAAGATAAGGTACGATTTTTTTAGCATCAAATAAAATATAGCATAAAAATAAAAAACAAGAAATGATAAAAAAACAAAAATAAGATAAAACAATATCAAAAAAATAAAAAAGTAAAACAAACAAAAGAAATAAGACAGTTCTTAAAAGAATATATTTAAAAAACTTACAAAAAAAGTTCACAAAAAAATTTCTAAACAAACAAACAATTTAAAAATATCAAGAAAAAAGATAAAAAAGACAAACAACAAAAAAACAAATAAGATCGAAACAACCGGAAACAAAAACAACTTAAAAAAGATGTAAAAATTGAAACAAAAAATAAAACAAAAATGTAAAGAGACAAACAACAACAAAAATAAATTGAAACAAAATTGCTAGAGGCTGGCAAAGGGTGAGGGAACTCCCTCTTTTTTGTTTCAGTTTTTTTGTTTCGAAAAATAAAATATAAAAAAATAACAAACAAAAAAGGATAAAGAAACAAAACAATAAGACAAAACAATATCAAAAAAATAAAAAACTAAAATTATCAATAAAATAAAACACTTCTTAAGAGAATAGATAAAAAAACTTACAAAAAAAGTTTACAAAAAACTCGTAAACAAACAAACAAATAATATAAAAGTGTCAAGAAAAAAGATAAAAAACAAACAAAAATTTTAACTAGAAAAACAAACAAATAAGATCAAAAAAAACAAAAAACAAAAAAAAATTGTGAAAAAAGGAAAGACAAAAAGAAGGGAGCTCAAGAAGAGAGTGAAGAGGGATGCTGGAAAAAAAGAGGAAAAGAACGGGGGCAGAATGGGTGGTTGGGAGGGGGTAGGGGTGGGGTGAGGGGAGCTTTGAGGAAGAAGAATAAAAGGAGGTGAAAGAAGAAGAAGAAGAAAAGGGGTGAAAGAAGAAGAAGACAAAGAAGGGGTGGGGGAGGGAAAAGAAGAAAAAAACGGGGTTAATTTAAAAATTATACTCCCTCCGTCCCAAAAAGTTTGTTACGTTTAGAAAAAACTGTGTCCCGTAAAGTCCGATACATTTCTATTAAAAAACCACTTTTACCTCTTACTTTTTCATACCCTACCTATCACATCAAACTTTTTTCTAATAATCTACCCATCACATCCTACTTTTACTCATCACATCAAGGGTATTTTTGGAAAGTCAATACCAAAATATCTCACCCTTAATTTCCCAAAAAGTCAAACGTCCCATTCTTTTTGGGACGGAGGAAGTAAAATATAAAAAATTAAGATTTGACCCAAATTACCTGTTATTGCCTTCCCTTTTCTACAGTTCCACGTCCTTGAAAGCTTCAGAAAAGACCGATCAATCGATCATAACGTAGAATCTTGTACGGCGCCACTTTTTTGACCTTATTGTTCATTTTTCCTCATAGTACGGAGTCTGATTGCTTGGAATTTCATTCCTGGTAATCGATTCATCTATCACGAAACCCTAGCTCCGACTTAAAAAACAAACACATAGGGAGTATAAATCAGTATAGAGAAGGGAGAAGGCGTGTGATTGCGATGGAGGATAATGCGAGGGGAGAGTATGTACCGGATGAAATGCTAGGAACGTTTGTGCCCATAGTGGTGTATTGGTTGTACTCAGGTTTGTATTCATTGTTGGGAGGTTTGGAGGATTACAGGTTGCATTCGAAGAAAGAGGAAGATGAGAAGAATTTGGTCAATAAGAAGGATGTTGTGAAAGGTGTGATTCTCCAACAGGCTGTGCAGGCCATCGTTGCCACTATCCTCTTTGCGGTAAGCTTCAAGATTGAATGCATTTGCAGAAAATGTTACAGGCGTTATGCTGTAAGGAGTCTCTTTGGAAACAACCTCTCTACTTTCGAGTGGGGGTAAGGTCTGTGTACACACCCTCCCCAGACCCTGCTTTCATGGGATTCTTCTGGGTTGTTGTATTTGTTATTGTTGTTGTACTGTAAAAGAGTCTTCTTTTAATTTTCTTTTTTTTATGTATGCACAAATGATAGTACTTTTTCTTGAAA